AGCCACACCCCAGGCACAACCTGCACAGTCTACACTGACAACAGAGCCACCTACAGCCACTGCCTCCACATCCCACTCGAGTACCTCCGTGGACAGATTCTGAGCCTCCATGCTTCTGACAGATGTGGCTTCCCTGCTTCTGAAGGAGGCTTCTGGAAAGGAAAACTCTTCCGCTGTCACCCTGGGTCATCAGCCCCTGGGGACAGATGAGACAGGGCTCTGCAAGACCGGCTGAGCCCGTCCCCAGCGGAGGCAGCCTCAGCGTCATGGCTGACCACGGGACATGCTGGGGTTGTGAGGCTCGGACCTGGGTGGCGTCCACCAGAGGGGCCATTTCAGCAGCACAAGGAAGTGCCCTGCTGCCCCGACAGCCGTGTCGCGTCCTCTGCAGGGGGTTGTATGGGGACCCTCTCTGGCCAGACACCCACAGGGCGAGCCACTGCTGGGCAGGGGCAGGCTCACTGGCAGGAAAGCAACTCAGCAACCGCAGTGGTAGCTCCGGAGGCCCCTGCCTGACTTAGCACAGAGCTCAGCGCCAGGCTGCGCCCCCTGCAGGACATCTCAGGCTGCGTGCGGGGCCCCAGCCCTGTCTTCCCACCTCTGCTCCAGAATGAGGACTCAGTGCCCCAGGGCTGTCACCCTGCCTGGCTTCTCGGATGCGCCAGGCTCCTCGAGGCTCATCCCACCTGCCTCCACACAGGGTCTCCCCTGAGCAGGGGCTCCCCATTTATCAGAACTCAGCCCCAGAACCTGGCCCGTCCCCCTGGGGACCAGCAACTGCTGGGCCCACGAAGGTGTGGCTCCACGCCACTTCCGCTGGCTGCTGCCCTTCTCTGCCACCTCCCTGTAGTCTTGTCTGTCTCCGCTTCCCAAGCACATCCTTAACGTCGTCAGAGAAAGGGAGACAACAGAGCTAAGGAGACACTGGCTGCAGCAGGCTGGAAGCAGGAGCTCACAGCCGGGAACTGAAAGGGACTCACAAGGAGCCTGTTGGCGCGGCCTTAGCCAGCTGCGCTCATTTATCTGCGTGGGGTAGCTCAGCGCTGAGCAGCAAGAGTAAAGGCAGCAGTGCTCTCGGGCGCCGCGCTGGCCCAGAGAGTGCCCGCCACATGCGCTGCCATCCGTGCCCGTGCCGAGTGGGTCACTGTTCAAACCAAGGCTCGCAGGCCGTGCCGGGCTGCTCCGACTCAGCAAGCCCCAATTAGGGCTCTGACGACCAGCCTCGAGGTCTGCAGAGCCAGGCCGCTTCGCAGGGCTGCAAGAGCTCACCTGCTCTTTGATGCTCTGATCCTAATTAAGACGCTCAAAACTTCTGAAGTCCCTGAGTCATTCGCTCCAACTATCTTTAAATTAAGGACAGATTCACTTCCCTGGCAGCGAGCATCCCACAACTTAATTAAGACAGGTTCAGCATTTAAACTGCCACCACAGCTTTCAGAGTGGACCCTGCTCCTTCCGGCTATCGCCGCTCCCAGCCTCCCTCCTTCCGCTCCAGTTCCAGTGTTTAGGAAACATTTCGTTGTCACCGCGTTTGCTCCGTGGATTGGCCAGTCAGCATGCTGCCCAAGCCCTTGGCCCTCAGGTGCAGAGAAAATAACACTAGTTTGTCCCCACTCTTGAGAGAGACATACTTAATGGACACTGGTGACAAGGACAAAGCAACTTAGAAATTATCCTTAGGAACGCATGAGCAATTTGCAATGTGAAAATCACCAGGCAGGACTCAAGCGATCTCTGAGCCACTGCACCCCTCAGCTGCAGGGTATCACAAACATGCGACTGACGGAATGGACGTACCCCTCAAACACGATGGGCCCCTCCGGGGAGGACGGCCGCTTCTAAGCGATGTGCCCACCAAGAAACTCCAACCTTACAGCCGGAAAAGGGTCAGACCTGCCAGGGCAGGCCAGGAAGCTGGGGCAGGGCCCCCGCGGGGCTGGGAAGCTGTCCACAGCAGTGCGGCATCCACACACCAGGCGTGTGCAGCAGGGAGATGCGGTAGCTGAGACTAGCCAGCCTGAGCTCCTCACAAGCTCACTTCGTGAGTTTCAAGATCAAAGCTCAGGAAACGACTGTTTCCCTCCTGGGAGGTTCTGTGACTCCAGATTCGCAGCATGACCAGTAAGAGTGTTGTCACAGGACGGGCCTCCTTGCTCAACCTCAGGCGAACCTCTGACCCATCTGACATCCCTCCCCTGCCAGCACTCGTGAGAGGCTGGAGCTGCACGCCTCTGCGAAGCTGCGCCAGGTGATTTTCCATCCCAAGCAGAGCCCAGCTGGCGTCATCTACACCTCTGTGTGGTGTACCAAGGTCAGGCACAAGGCCATGGCATCTCATTAAATGACCGCCCAAGCTAGTTGCAGCAAATTGGCACAATGTTGGTAATTATCATCATCAGCGCCATCACCATCGCCATCATCACCACCATCGTCATTGCCATTGCCACCACCACCACCACCCCCACCACGACCACCATCACCACCATCACCATCACCACCACCACCACCATCACCACCACCACCACCA